GGTCTGAATTCAGAATTAAACCTCTACAACATAAGGCAGGATAATGTCATAGCCTTAAATGAAGTGTGAAGAAGTAGTGAAGATTTGAGACCTCAACGTTGAAATCTTATTTAGTTTCTTTTTATTTCAAATAACCAGGGTTGAAAAATTCAATCATTGCAAAATATGGCCAAAAAGTATTTCTTTACAGGACTGAAGATTGTTAAGGTTTTCAGGATCTAAGACTTTCAGAGAACCATGTAATAAAAGACTTGAAATAATGAAAAAAAGCTGAGTATTATGCCATTTATAAAAGTTAAAAGTCAGCTTCCTCCCAAAATGAAACAATAAAAACAAAGCCAACTGTTACTTAACTAAGGCTAGGTAGGGCCCTCAGCCCCAGGTGATTGGCCTCTATGGTTCTCTTTCATCCTGCTACTTTGAAACACAACCAGGTTCCAAAAAAGAGATAACTTTGAGCTCTCGGTCCCTTCAGATTGCACCAGGTTTAATTACAGAAAATTAAAAAGCAAAAGCAAAGAGCAATATTTAGAATTACAGCACTCCTCGAAGAATTATGAGTTGTGGGAAACCTGAAATCCGTCATCTTAGAAAAAATGTTTATAATACCATTCAAAGCAGGAAGAATTGCACAGAGACAAATGATTTGTCAGTGGTTCTCTTACATATACAAAAGGTCTTCCAACCTGTGACTCTTGCCTCCCTGGATATTTGTCTGCACTGTAAAGACTTTTATATTGAGTCATGAATGTGCTCTACAGGGAGCCACCGGGGACGGTCACAGCGCGCTGTCTTGCCACGCACAGTCACCAGGGACGGAGCCTGGCCAAGAAGGGGGAGGCAGCGGGTCACCCTACGGGCGCTGGTCACAGCAGTGAAAGGTGCCTATGAACACACTAAATATCACTGATTCAAGCCTTCCCCCTCTTGACATTTGAACCACTGGGCAGTTCTGTGCTGCTTTATCGATTTGGCCAGTGGTGTGTGTATTGGTAAACTCAAACCTTTTTTCAGTAACACTTAGAAAACAGCAAAGTAGATAGATCACTAGGTAAAAGTTGGTTTGAGAAAGGAAAATGCTTAGAAAAAATGGGGTGGGGGGGCGAGGGAACCCTTTGGAAGAGAACATTGATCAAGATAATGCTGAAAGGGGGAAAGAAAAGTACCGGAGGGATGGGAGTAAAGCAGAAAGGCAAGACAAGCCAAAGACCTGCTTCGGGTCCAGGGCCACACAGCCGCTGCCCTCTACCAGCGAGGTCACCAGAGTAAATGGCTGCATCGTGGCAGGGTGGCTGAGAGGTGGCAATGCAAAGTGACACGCTCCCTTGCGCATTTAGAATCAACACATCAACAACGACATGGAACTTCTAAAACGCTGCCTGTGCCTCAATGGACCCATTTATACTTTTCTGTGTTTACAATTAGATCCATTATGGCAGCAAACAGCCTGCCTTTCTCGCAGGCAAACTCTCCATCTTAAACTTTACAAGCCTACTTCCCCTCCACATTAGCACCCTGAAATTCTTCTCAAGTGCTGTACTGAGGGGCTAGTGAGCTGACTGCTTACCAAGGAACCCTGGGCCATAGAAAAGGCCACATAAAGGCAATTCTTATGAAAGATGCATGTAGACCGCTCCTCTCATTCACTTATCTATAACAACTATTGCACATCAGTTATATGATTAGTAAGCAGAGAGAGAGAAAAGTGAAGAAGAGAAGGACAGGTGTGGAGAGACAGAGATTTATAAGAGAAAGAGAAGAGGACGGAAGAAAACATATAGAGAGGGGAAAAAGCATAAACCCCGGAGACTGAAGAAACAAAGTAGCTGAAAGACAAGTGTAAGTGAGAAATCTGTGTCCCATCAATCCCACCCTGTGTTTTTTTAAGATAAAGCTGTTAAAGATTTACTATTATGTTGATATTCTCAACTGAAAAGCTGGCTGGACAAATGACACCCTCGTGTTTTCCTGGTGGAAATAAAATTGAGGGCTGCCGCTGGTCTTGTCTTTACTTAGTGGTCTCTTCCTGGCTAATTACGCCTTCTCCCATAGCTTCTATTTTTCCTCTGGCTACTGTAAACTTTTCTTTTTATCTTCAGGTCTCAGCACATACTTATATATAGCAGTAGTCTTGGCTGGGGTAAGAGTGCGTCCTGAACATGAGGCTGACTATCACCCCCACACATTTCAGAAACTTAGGGTACGCACTTTCCTTTCCTTCCAGGGCTCCAATTACAAATACGGCAGACTTACTTTGTCGTGTATTTCTCTTAGACTTCCCCATGTATATTTTAAACCTTTGTCTCTGTGTGTTTTAATGTGATTGGTTAATTGTGATCAACCTCTCTTCATTTCACTAAATCTTCAGCCATGCCTAACCTGATGTAAACTCAGCAACCGAGTCTTTAACACAATTCTAGAAGCTCCATTTTAAAATTTCCATTTTTTTCTAAGATATTTTGTCTTTTCATTGGATTCCTTAGACTTGTTAATTATGGCTATTTCAGACTCTGCTCATCAGGATTTTCTATGGGCTGTTTCTAATATAACTTGCTTCTGTGCCTTCCTATCTTCATGAACCGATGAATTAATGCTTGGCCTCTGAAATGCTCCTTTCAGAATCTATGGTCATCTCTAGGAAATAAGCAATACCAGATGCCAGGCTTAGACCTCTGGGCCCTCCTTCTTCCCTGGATCCTATGACTCCTCCAGGCCTTGCTAGCCTCTAGTCAGGGATTCATGTTTTTTGTTTCTGGTTTTTTTGGACAAGGTAGAGTTCAGTACTTCTAGCTGTTCTCAGCAGACATGTGCATTTGAAAATTTGAAATAACCAATCCCAGCACCGTGGGAAGCGAATCACCCCTCACTACCCACACTGTCCCCAAGCTCCACAGTGTTTGAAGTCTGTACTGCTGCGCCTGGCTCCGGTTCCCTCTACATCCTGACCAACACTATCCAAATTAGAACACAAGCTTTTGGGCTGGAGAGATTTATATTCAGACTGTGGCATTGCCCCTACAGCACGTGGCACTGGACAAGTTATTTACCTCTTACATAATTTATTTGTAAAACAAGGCTATGAATTTGCTACACAAGGGTGCTAAAGTGAAATATTGTGGGTAAAGTATTTAGCACAACCCCTAGTGTATAGTAACAACAGTTATTACTGGTTGAGCATATTGTCACTGCCAGTTCTCCTATAACTAATAAATCAATCATCAGGTGCTTGAATCAGATTCTTCACTCTTTGGTGAAATATGTGTATATATTTTCCCTTCATAGTCTGCTCACACTGTCCTTGATTCTGCCCTTTCTTAACATAATCCAACACATTCTCAAAGTCCTCAAAGAGAGCTCAGCCTCCCCCAGAGATGTGCCAAAATTCAAATTTCATACTGGCATGAACTTGCTCTAATTTCTATGCAACTTAGCAGCACACAATTTATCAACTATTATCAAATTTTATTAGTCTCTTTCAAACTGGATTATAAAGAGGTTACCGAAACAGCCAATAATTAGTATCTTTTATAACACCAAGCATAGCACCAAACAAATAAGAGGTTTTCAAATATATACATGGTTCAATGTAGGAAAAAAGTTCGTAGATATTGTAGATATAGTAGTAGATTGAATTAATACTCCAAAGCATATAGAATGGGGAAGGGATACAGAAGAACACAGAAGAAAAGATTATGAATAAATAAGTACATCACAGGAAAAAAAAGTTTGGTAACATATTTACTGAAATCCTTCACTATAAGCATAACTTTAACTAGCCTAGTTGCATTATACTAAAATGACAACTCAAAGTCCAAAGTTGCATTTTTTTTACCATTCAAAATTTAACAGGAACTTTCTAGAAGGACCTTAAGAACACCCTTTCTTCTACAAGGGAAACAAATGTAAATGAAAAACCCCAACTTGTTCAAGAGTTTGGCCAACATTGATCTGTCAAGAGAATATTCTCCCATGGATGGCATTACAATTAAAATCTGTTTTACTTATACTCAAAATAAGATGCTCATGAGAATGAGAACATAACGGTTGAGAGATAAACTTTTGTGTCACAGGCCCTTGGTATGCAACTCTTTGATTTTTTTTTGAAATTTTTTAAATCATAAATACAGAAATAAGTGCTTTCTTAAAACACTGTAACAGTAGTTACATTAATTTTCTACAGAGATTATCTCCGAAGAATGCATGCTACTATTACCAGTGCCTTTTCAATATATTTCTGCTTGAAAATTACCTTCTTCTGATCAATACTAAATCAACTACATTGATAAAGTAAGTGTAAAGTAACAATAGCTTGTTCTATAAATCATCCACTTCTGACAATTTCTGCCTTCATTTTGTCCCCCATCCCCAACCTGGTATTTTGACACAATGATATGCTTTGATTTTGAATGATTGTAGATTTAGAATAAAATTTTCTTTTTAGCAAGTGACAGTATCATTCAGTTCTCAGTTGTCACATGCTAGGAGTGATGCTAAAATATACCCAATGTGTTTACATTTAATGAGATGATACCTAACTCCTGCTGAAATATACAAAGTTGTAGCCGGTGCTAGGCTCTGAGATTTAATTTTCATAACCACAGAATACTTGATTCAGACTCCCTCATAGGAGGAATACATATAAGGACTTCAAAGAGACGACTGTGACCATTTGTAATTTTAACTTTTGAGGGAAGGTGGAGGAGTGATCTTGTTCAGGTGTTAGATAGTGTGGGGATTCTGAGACATTTCTGGCAGCACTGATTCGCTTTTATAATACAGATCATCCAGAAAGGGAGAGAGCATGGGAAAGAGTTAATTCAATATGTTAATATACAGCTGGAAAGAGTAAATATGTAACAACTAGTTTCCTGGAAGACTCATCTGCTCATCCCATCAGATTATAGGCAGCCCAAAGGCTTTTTTTAGCCAGAAAATTTAGTATGACAGCATTTGCAAGTGGAGCGAGACCTGGCATTTGACCTTCATGCACGCCAGCTTACCCACAGCGTTGTAGAGAGGCTCTCCGGTCAGCTTGTCCCAGACGACTGTGGTTTCCCTCTGGTTACTAACACCAATGGCTTTAAAGGAAGAATTAAACAGAAGGGAGTAGAAAATTAAACAAGTTGAAAACTACTTGAGAATCATTCTCATGGTATTTTTTTTTTCAGGCACAGCTAAACATGACAATTTGAATAAACATCTGGAATGTTTGCTGTGTTTATTTTCTTTGCGTGACCCTGGAAGAAGTGAACACCCAATGTCAAGTGCTCCATTTTAATTTCCGCACATTTCTTCCCACTTCACTACCAGCACATGATGAAACGGGCCCAGGTAAACATCCAAATGAAAAGCCCCCAGGTACCTTGCCAAAAGAGAATGCAGTGACTTTACAAATTCATAGCACCCAATTTATTTTTGTGAGGAGACTGACTTTCCTCTTACTCCTTTAGTTACTGGCAGCTACAAGAAATTCCCCTGCACACATATGTGCATGGGCCTGCACATACGGATAAAAAGGCCTCAAGCTAGGCAACCTTATACTGTGGTTAGTTGGACAAACAGCTTTACTCCTGTATTTTCATAATCTGTTACAAGACAAACGAGTGTAGATCAGGTGTGAAAATGGTATTTACATGATAGTGACCTACACACAACTCAAGGGATAGAGTTACAATAAATTCCTCTCAGTAAAATACTAATCAATACCATCTAACTCAATTCAGCATGGTTCTGCTGGCTCAGAGGTCCTGACTTGGTTGTATGTTAGACTCAACTGCAGAATTAAAAAAAAGAAATACAAATGTTCAGGCCTGGCTCCAACATTCCAATTTAACTGCCCTGGGTGGGATCTGAGCATCTGATACTTCAGTGAATCTGTTACAAGACTGGGAGAGAGGGGCACCCCTGAACCCAAGCCTGCCTGCTCTAAATAGGTTCTGCCACCTGTTGCATCAAGACAAAACATACAAGACCTTTCATAGAAAGGAACTTTTATATAACTAGTGTACAATACAGAAAAATATAAAGAATACAGTTTCTGTATCAAATACCCAAAGTTACCCATCCCCTCATGGGTAAAAGTCCACCCAAAGAGGTTGGCTCAAAGTAAGGCCTGAAAACCTGCCACAATTCTAAAGCCCCTTTCAGCAGGGACCCATAGGAAAAGGTCAGAAATGGCCAGACAAGTCTGGGAGGAAAAAAATCAAAATCAAGATAAATGCTGCCATAGTCAACCTCCCCACAGGTCTCTCACCCACGTCTGTTTCACCCAGGCCAGGACCAGGAAACACTGTCTTCTTCACTTGTCTCTCTGATCCCTGTGCTTCCCTCAGGCCTCCTTCTGGCTTCCTATCCTGCTTCCTCCTCTTCAGTCTCCTCTCTAGATTCTCTTCTATCCTGCTCAGTTCCACCCTCCTTTGGGTAGTGGGCGGGGAACCTCCCCTTTCCTGGGGACCACCCTGTTACAATGCTAAAGTGCACCCCGGATTGAATACATGGCTGAAGGATTGAGCTCTTCCAGAATTGCCTTCAAAGTTATAGCATCAGTGACAAATTTGGGGTGCAAATCTCCTCTAGTCACCTGTCATGTGACCTTTTGAGTAGCATATCTAGTGACAAGATACTATCTCTCTTAAACAAGAAAAACCTCTATTCAACAGCTTTGACATTAAAAAAAAAAAAAAAACCTTTTCCTGGAACCTTCTACCTACAGATCTTAGCTATATTCTTTGGAGATATTTAGAAGATTAGTTCTTCAGTCTTTCACAATTCGAAACAACTGTTTTGTCCCTTGAGTCTTCTCTGCCCCTGTGTGCTAAATAATTCCATTTCCTTCAGCTACCCTCCTTATGGCCTGGTTTTCGGTCCTTTCACCTCTTAGGAAAGCTTAACTATCTGTATTATTCAAATCGCACGCCCCCAATAAAACACAATAGGAGTGCTTTGACTAACAGTGGAGGCCAACCAGCACTTATGCCCTTATGCCCGGTAGTAAATAGTCATGCAATGCAGGCAGACTCACACCTTTTCTAGAGGTACAAGGGTGAGATATTTGACTCCAAGGGAGGGCAGAAGCATTAGGTGAAAGGAGATTTGGAGGTGTCATTTTAATAACAAAAGACAAAACTGTTGGCTTGAATAGGAGGGAAGAGAAAGGAGAGCTGGGGGCGGGAGCTGGGATCCAGTAGGAGCAGATCCTCACCCTGCCGCAGCAGGAGTGGGTGGGGTTAATGTTTAGAAGAGCCTCAGGCAGGGCAGTGAGCTGTGGCTTCCCTCTGGCTGGAGTGAAAGGGCTAAGACATGCAGACATTGAAGTGCAAGAACAGGAAGTTGAGGAATGAGGCCCCAGTGCCTCAACTTTCTCTGTGAAGTAGCACACAGCTTATCTACCAAAATGGAGCCAGAAAAAATAAGTCTGGGAATACAGGGCACTATGCCACTGAGCTCAGAACCCAAGGCTGCGAGGGTGCAAATCTCAATTTCTCTGCTTCCCAGCTGCGGGGCCCTGGGTCTAAGTTTTCTTATTTATAAAATGGAGATAATGTTTCCATCTTAAAGTGTCACAGAGAGGCGGCCCCTAAGTTAATGCATATTCAAACAGTGCCAGGCAGAAGGTGAGCGGCAATTAATGTCACCCCTTACTGTTGAGGAGAGAGTGGAATAGTGAAGGTCACGGACAAGGGGACGAGGCTTTGCAGGACATTGGCCAGCAGCACTGTGGGACAACAGAGCCAGAGACTCAGCCAGGTAGAGTACTGGAAATACCACACTTTGTGACAACACTCAGCATGGGCTCACTGCTAATTTGCCGCCCACATCTATTCCCCACTACAGCATCCATTTCCATGAACAAGCTGGAGGCCTCTTACCCACAGCCCTCAGTCACCGAAGGCCACCGTCCTTTATTGCCTCATTGAAACTTGTACTCAAAATGGAATCTAGAGCTCTTGGAGGGGATTCTTTGATCCCAGGTCCCTCCCTGACCACTCCCTCTTTCCTCTCCTAATTCCATTCCTTCTCCAAGTAAGATTGTTTATCTCCTTATCAAGAGTCCAGTGAAATAGCTTCTTGAGATTCTCTTCTAGATGCAAATGCCTTCGTTACTGGTTTTCCCCCAGGCATACGGGTGGTAGGCAGTGCTTGAACTTTTTTGATGTTCAAACTTCTTGTCATTTGCCCCCTAACATCCTTGATTTTTAAAATAGATTTTAGTTTATTTATTTTTTAAAGATTGATTTATTTATGCATACAGAACTGGGGTGCAGACCAGAGGTGCAGGGGGAGGGGGTGAGAGGATTCACCAGAGAAGGAGTGGGGAACAGAACAAGCAGAAGTACTGAAATACACTGCTGAGGGGAGCAGGGAGCGGTCAGGAGAGGTCTGCTGTGACATGTGGGTCAGTTCCCTGGACAGGGATCAAAATCCTGCTGCAGTGGCTGCAACAGCTTCATAGTACTGTGCTTTAACCCACGGTACCACCAGGGAGGGCCCCCTCAATGTTTTTTATTTTTTAAAGATTTATGTATTCATGCATACAAGAACTGGGGTACAGATCAGATGTGCAGGGAGTAAGAGGCTTCACCAGAGACAGAGCGGGGAGCAGAACAGGCAGACTGACAAAGTACACTGCTGATGGGAGCAGCAGGCAAGACAGGAGAGGTCTGCTGCGCCATATGGGTCACCTCTGGGGCCAGGGATTGAATTCGCACTGAAGCAGCTATGCCCAGCTTGCAGTGCTGCGCCCTAACCCGTTGCGCCACCAGGAAGGGACCCTCAATGTTTTTTAGAGAGAACTTTTCTGACTGCTAATCCCAGCACAGGAGATTTTAATAGTCCCTTATTTTTATTGCCTAGTTAAATGCTACATTCAAATTGTCTCTGAAAAGTTATAATCACATTGAGAAAATATACTGAGGAGCAAAATACTTTGGAAATGCTCAGTGTTATTAATACTTGCTATCTTGAAAGATTTATGGGTGACATAATCCTTCTTTAAGAATAAAGAAGGATAAATCTTTATGAGTAAATCCATAATTTACCACTGGAGCACGTTTTTGAAAAAACACACATAGCAAATAATAAGAGTACCAGAGGCTGTGGGGCTACAAGTGTCATGTGGAAAGAACACAGTCCCTGGGGGTTCTCTATGGCAGCCCAATGGGTTAAAGCACAGCACTATAAAGCGATCACAGCCACAGCAGCATGAGTTCGATTCCCAGGCTGCTGGGGAGCTCACCCAGATGGCAAGGCAGAAATATCCTGACCTGCCCGTTGCTCCCCTCAGCAGTGTATTTAAGTCAATCTGCCTGTTCTACTCTTCACTCTGTCTCTGGTGAATCTTCTCATCCTCCACTGGCCTATATCCCAGTTCTTATATGCATAACTAAATAAATCTTTTATTAAAAAAAAAAGGAAAAGAAAACAGTCCCTGGAAAATGTATGCTTGATGTAACAGGGCAATTGCAACTGAAATGCTGCTAGGGAGATATTCAGAGAATGGGGTGACTTCTGAGACCCGTGAGAGGTGAGAGGAACAAGCATGATTATGACCAATAGGGAAAGGCAGCGGAGAAATGGTATGGGGTTTTGCTTTTCTAGAATACCAAAATAAAATAAATATTTTTGATACAAGACTAGTGGCTGAGAATTTTCATGCTCTCATTTTCATCACTATGTTGCACTTTGCTTGTATCACTTGAGAGATGATGAATGATAGTATCTGGTGTTGTAACTTGTGATACTTTGTAGTTCCTTTAGTCCAGTGACTGATAAACAGAGCTACAGTGTGTCAGTGTGAGAGAAGCAGCCTATTACTTTTCTTGGGTTGATGTGTTTGGGATGTTCAGCTAGAGAGTGGACTTTCATTTTGGAGGTGTCGCTCCTAGAGACCCAGAATCAACAAACTTTCTGACAGATTAGGACAAGTAAAACCAATAAAATTGGAATTTGCCAACAGAGATATAAATAGCTATGGTGAATTTTGTTAATGATGATCAGGAAGGGCTATGAAGGAATGGCTCCTCACTGGAAAAGCTTACTTCCTTGCCATACTGGAACTAAAAACTGGAGCGACTTCTGAGGTTCCTATCAGTGTTAAGGAAAAAGAACACTGGACTGGCAGATGGGAAACATGCAGTAATGCTCCCCAGCCCTAAATGGCTACAAGGCCTGTGATAAGCCCCTTTCCCTCATTTGCAACTAGGTCTAGATGACAGATGATCCTTTAAACAAACAAGCAAAGGTTGGCCCTGGGCAGTGCCAATTCAATAAGTTATCCAGGGGAAAAGATAGAGTAACTGGCTTGCTATGGAGGGGCTTGTGGAAAGTTCTCTTCCTTGGCCGTAGGCTGGTAGTCGTTGAGAAGGAAGGACTGGGACACTGACTCAGGCTTGGGTTTCCTAATGGCCACACAGAGGCATGCAGAGCAGAGGGCTGTGTTTCAGGATCCTAACACAACAGTCAGGACAAGTAGAAGGCCAATCACTTGGACAAGAGTCATGTGTCATCTTCATCTACACCATAAAAACAAAAAAGGGAATGGCACTGACTTGGTACAGGAGACCAACACACGGCAGCCTACCTAATCTGTAAGGAAGGTAGAGTGATTTCAAAAACCCAGCCCACCCCAGGAATCTACATCCTGAACATAGCTTCCAGTCACCCAGATTATATGTCTCTTGAAATGGATCTTTTGACAAGAGTGTGGTAGTGAATGCCTTTTGCGTGTGCATGCTGTTTAGACTGAGTTTGTAAGAACAGTTCAAGGAGGTAACTAACAATCACTTTGACACACAGCTCATCTAAAACTTGGTCAGTGAAACTCCAAAGGAAGTTTTAACATTTGCACTTAGGTGCAGAGATAAAATGAGTGTAGGACATTTAAAAACTGTTAGCAAAATATCAAATCATACATGGGAGCTTATTTCTTTAAAAAAAAAAACCTGCAATGGCAGAAATAACAATATTACTTTATGACTTTCCATTAATTTGTGAACTGGGTTAACATCTGCTTCCCCGTTGACTGCAGCCCTAGCACACTGGCACATAGTAGGCACTCTAGGAGTATGCTGAATGAATGGTTTGGTTGTGTTTAGATTTCTTAAAAATGAGTTTCACTTATACAAATAGGGAAAAGCATAAAAAAAAAATCCAAGTTTCAATTCGAGAGTATTAGCAAGTTCCCTATCTAGAACCACTAATAGCCCTTGAATGATGAACTTGGAAAACTTTAAATATAAAAATGTGGTAAGATGACAGGGTTATTTTTCCCCTATATTAATGACACAAAACTGATCTTAGATATTTCGATTCAAACTATGAGAAAGAAAAGTAAAACTACGAGGAACTAATAGACACATCTATCAGAATCTAACAAACAATTCAGGGAGATTTTACAAGTATACTGATTCCAAGTAAGTCCCCAGACTGCTCCTTCTTCTAGTCTCTCTCCAGCAAAGCATCCCCCATCAGTCTAGGTGCTCCAGCAAAACCCCAAGCTTCCTTTCTAACTCAACTCTCCCCCTGGCACCCCCACGCGCACCCTACCCATCAGAAGTTCTGGTCCTTTCTCCTCACCTCTACCCTACCACTGCCAGTCGAGTCATCACTCCTCTCTCAGGGGAGACAGCAGCCAACACACACTAACTCTTAGTCAGGAAGTTGTTATTAAGCTGCAAAGTCAGATACTGCCACCCACTGCTGCCTTGCTTAAAACCTTCTCATCGAGATGGGAAAAAAAATGTGCAAAATGATGTAAAAATAAACTTTTGTAATAATTTAAAAAAAGCATCACATGGAAATGAAATCATTTATACTACTGAGTGTGATACCTTCATCATCATTAAAAAATCTTGTTTGTTGATTAAATCAATATAAATTAAAAAAAAAAACCTTCTCAAGGCTCCCTGTGACACTAAGAACACCCAAAGTTCTAACTATGGCTGCCAAGGGCCTGTTCACTTTCCTGACTGCAGTTTCTCCTGAAAGCCCTTACTCCAACACGCTAGCCTCTCAGTTTGGCCAGCTGACCCTCTTTCCCATCCAGGGATGTGCCAAGTCTGTCCCCACCACGGGACCTCTGCCTTCAGTTTGGAGCCAAGTAAATGCATTAATGACGATGACAAAGATAACCAGACCATGGAGTGAAAGTCTTTTAAAAATACCTTTTATGTTGGAAATATCAATATTGAGCTGTCCAAGTTTCTCACAAGTTTTCTCTATACACTCATAGACAGACTGCAGAATTTCCTTAGGATCTTGTTCCACCCATCTTTGAACAAAAGAATACATTTGGTTAGTCCATAAGAAAGGAATATTTGTCATTTGTCATCAATGAAATGGCATTTATTTCTCTAGAAATGTACACTTAAGAGTGTGTGGTAGCACAGTGATTACAACTGAGATGGAAAAAGGCACAAAATGATGTAAAAATAAACTATTATATTATAAAAAAAAAAGAGAGAGAGAGAGAGAATATGGCATTGCATGAAGAAAAGCATATAGGCCAAAAAAAGGGGAATCATATAGGCAAAGCAAAGCCCATCTAGTATTCTAAAGAAAGGATTTGAAGAAAGGTCTTTCCCTTATATTTTTATTATTCTTTATACAGTAATTGATCGTTTGAAAAGAAGCAAGGAATAAACAGGTCATGAATAACAAACATTCTAACTATTTTTATTTTTTTTCAAATTCAGTAACAAATTAGTTCCCAAATTCTTTTACCATGTAGGAATGATGAATTTTAATAAAATGCATGTGTCACTCGTTATTTCTAACTAAATTTATTTAGCAAAAGAAATTTTGAAAAGCCAAGTAAGCATACTAATCTCTTTTGCCATTTCCCACCAAAACACTCTGTTAGGATTTAGAGGAAACATTTAAACTTGGTCAAATAACTATTTCATGTAGTGAGTGATAGATACAAGTTCTTCATATCCAATCCCAGTGCAATTTTGATAAGATACCAGGCTTTAGAAGGATAACAAGGCTCACCATAAATGATGAGGAAGAGAAACCTAGGGGAAACAAATGGCAATAAGAGGAAACCCCAAGGTTGGAACAATTTAAGTCAAAGAATCCTACTCTGGGATCTGGAAGTTGCATGGGAAATGGAAATACATTTCTTCTCTGCCTTCCTCAGGTCCGCCTTGCTAAATACTAACTTTTCCTGAACTTAGAGTTCTGTCTCTGAATTATCTTTTTCTAAAAAATTAATCTACTTCAACATATTTCTAATTTTCATCCTTCTAAGACACTGGTATCCTCTCTCCAAATTGCATGGGGATCAGGCCTGTGGACAACCATTTAAATGCTGGCAACACATCAATAGCTTTATTATTAAACAAAAGATTTCTCTGACAGAATATTTTTCATGGTAAGAAAACAGTAAAATTAGTAAGATAATTTTTTTCTTTCTTAAATTGAAATAAACTTGACAATGAAATGAACAGATCTAAAACTCTAATTCATTGAGTTTTTGGAAATATATATACACTTGGCTAACCAACATCTCAGTCAAGATGCAGAGTGTTTCCTCATTCCAAAATGTTCTTTCATGCCTCTTTCACATCAGTCACATAGCCCACAGAGCAAGCACTTTTCTGGTTTCATGAATAAAGCTGCTATAAAAACTCATGTATAAAATTTTTTGATAGACATATGCTTTCATTTTGCTTATATAAATTACTAAGTGTAAAATACTCTGGATGCATGGTTCATTGTATAAGGAATTAACTGTTTTTCAAAGCAGTTGCAGTTATAAAAGTGAAATGTTAAAGGGTGTGCTGAGTACCTATTTACAATTACTACATGTGACATTTATTTCCAAACAGGATGATAGATCTCTGAATACTTTTTTAAAAAACATGAAAAAAATAGGTGAGAAAAATAAAGGAGATTTTCAAGTTTTAAAAAAAAAACATGTCTTCATTTAAGGGGGAAAAAAAACACTTAGACTCAAATCAGCAAAGTGGCAGTTTGGATGACTTCAAAGTCAAGGGTAAAATTTCTGATATTTAATACCCCTTTGTGTTGCCACTTTATCATCCCCTTCTTTTCTATCATTGACTTTCTAAGCCATCGACTTCCCATAGAGTTTTGCTAATTACAAGATCAATGCTATCCCCGAAACCTTCTCCTGAGGGTATCTGGTTAAGTTTACTTTACAAAATAATAGGACAGGGAGAGTGAAATAGATTAGTAAACATGACACATCTTTATATATTAAAGATTTACATACCCTTCTTTTGGAAACTCTTGTTTTATTTCTACTTGATGATGACTAAGTAGTTCAGCTGTTTTTGAATTGAAAACCTGAAAAATACATTGCAATATTAGGGTGAAAATGCAGGTCAAGAGACAGATGTCTAAAGTTATGCAGCAACTGCTTAACACTGACAGAAAACGTACAACGATATGCCACACAGGATGCTTGTGGCATATCTTTCTTCACTAGAGAATCTTAAAGGTTCTATGGCAGCTTCAGAAATAAGAACTTCTCTTTCGATAATAGAAATCGACTAAACATAAAGCTCAAAAGGAATTTCATTTTGTTAAAAAAAATGGTTCTAGATGTAGAAAAGTAAATACATTAACTAATTAATAGTACAGGTTGTTTTTTAGATTCCCCTCAGTAAGCCATCGTGAGTGCAGAAACTGGAAATCAAGGATGCCCAGGCGGGGAAGCACGCTGAGCAAGCTCCTTGTAAGGGAAGTGCTATCATGCAGCTAGTTCTCAGGAGGTAAGCAGAGGCAAAGCAGCGCAGAAGGGGTTGGCATGCAGCTGGGTACTATTTGTGGCACATTTGTACTTTGCTGACCCTTAATATCAACTATGAAAGCGAGTGGATGAATGTTGCCCAAGAAGTGCTGTGCAATCCTTTACAATTTTAACACTATAATCATGCGTTGCTTAATTCCTTAATTAACTGGAATATCCTGATAAACTCCAATTTAGCATTAGGGTATCTCCAGGACATTTGTTCCAGTTGTCTTTTTTTTTTTCTTTTTGAGATTTATTTTTATAATAGAGTCTCCATGGTGGCCTAGAGGTTAAGTCTTAATTCTGTCACAGCTATGGTCTGAGTTCGATCCCTGGCCAGGGAGCTGACCTACATGGCACAGCAGACCTCTCCTGTCTTGCCCGCTGCTCCCCTCAGCAGTGTACTTCTTCAGCCTGCCTGTTCTGGTCTTCACTCTGTCTCTGGTGAATCTTCTCTGTCTCTGGTGAATCCTCTCACTGCCCCTGCACCTCTGGCCTGTACCCCAGTTCTGTATGCATGAATAAATAAATCTTTTAAAAAAATTATAGTGACTATGCTTTTTCTCACCGTCCATTAAGAGATAACAAATACAAGTTGTTTTTTTTTTAACACAGTTCTGCCAGCATTTTGTACAGAAAAGATACCTAACCTTGATTTGTGAGGATCAGAGAAGGCCCTTTCAAAAAAGCAACTGCTCGACTAAGAAGACTCAAGGGAGTCGAGAAGGCAGAAGGGAGTCCTGTGGAAATCAGGGAGGCTCAGTGAGGCAGGAGCGCAGCCACCGTGATGTATCTGCTGTGATCCAGGTGAGACACCTGGAGGGCCCCGCTGGAGCAACAGTAAGGACTAAAAGGAGTGAAGCACCTGAGCCAGTGATAGTTAAACCAGGAGACATAAGCAACGAGACTTGTCAAGTACTTGGATGGGGAGAAGAACAAGAAGGGACCCCGCCAGGATGACAGGTTACAGGTAGGGTAGGAGGTATTCGCAAGACAAAGGACAGGTGGGAGCTGATATGGTGCTGAGAAGATTGCTTATTTCATTTGCGATAATGTGTTTGAGATGTCACTTAGGCACTTCAGTGGAGACACCTGGCAGTCAGTTGCTATATTTTAGGTCGTAAGCTTAGAGATTCATTAAGGACTGGTAGACAAATAAGTTCTGGAGAGCTGATGCACAGCACAGTGATTATCAACAACATGGCATTGTAAGTTGCTAAGAGAGTAGCACTTAATTGTTCCCAACACAAAAAAAGAAATTATGATTATTTGAGTTGATAAGAGTTGCTAGCTACCACTGGGGTGGCAATCACAGTATAATAATGTATCAAATCAATACATCGTACATCCCAAATGTGTACAGTGTTACATGATTAATGTTACGTGTCAATCATACTTCAATCAAAAGGAAGGAGATCTGTTTTCAGAATGCTGTGAGCCAGCAAGGCAGATGTGAACTTCAGTGTAGTTCACAGAGGCGGAGTGCACCGGGCTGGAGGCACACAGACCTGGGGGGAGGGGATCAAGCCCCAGCCTTGCCCATGCTGGCGATTTGGCTTTTAAGTTTTCTGAGGCTCAACATTTCCATCTGTAGAAGGACTCAAGAAAATAATTGATGGAAAGTATTTTGAACTGGGAAACATAGTATGCTCCCAGAGAAGCCGCAGCTAACTGTCACGGCTACTACGGCAACTATTTTCTTAATTGCTACTAGTACTGCTACCATTTCTGGAATGTAGAATCACTAGTTCTATGTTCAACTCTGAGTCTAAGTCATGTCTCACTTCTAGGTTTTGTTTTGATGGGAAAGCAATTAAATACTGAAGTAACAAGGGAGATTAATATAGGAAGCCGATTTCACGCAACACAGGCACAGAGCATATACACAAAGATGTTACCACCAGCCACTGCTGCTGCTTCTGTTTCTTTTTTTCCCATGAATAATTCTTCCTCCTCCTTCTCCTCTTCTCTTCATCTTCATCATCATCATATCATCATTATCACTACTCCCCTACTACTGCTGCTACCTCTAAATGGTAGAATTAGATAGAGGTCACCAGCTCTTTAACTCTATGCCTAAATCATGACTCAGTTCCCTAATCGGGAGGGGGAGAGTTAGAAACTGAAGAATCAAGGCAAATTATTTTTCTAAAAGATTGTTTAAAAAGAACTTTCTGAAACAACCTATGTATTCTGCTGAGGAGGAGCGTAGTGGAGGGATGAGATGATCTCACTAAGTCCTTTGGGCTTGTCTCCCTCCCCCCTATGATGAATTTAGCCATGCCATCAGGAACATGCACATTCATTTCCCTCCCCACACAATCCCCCCACTTGTCTACTCTTTTATGCCACATTCAGCTTAACTGTGTGATAAAACATTTTGCAAGAATGTACACTCCCTCTTTAGGACACAGATACTATGTAAGTTTGAATGGCTTAAAATAAAAAGACTAGCTGTAAATATGTTACATTGCAGCCCCCTCCCCAATGGTATCTTCCCACGAGTCACAGCAGTAAAGGGAACAGAGCAAATGGCATTCTAATTTTCACACAAATGAACTGTATCTCCGAGCTGCATATATATACACATAATACAGCTCTACTTGCCGAATTCCATTTTTTCCAAGGCTCCACAAATGTTACCTTTAGTTTTTAATCCCAGAGTTTTAGTCAATACAGCTGAGCCCTGGAGGCCCCTCTCTGCTGTTGTCTATTTACAAAATGAACCCCAGCCACATGGCAGAAGCTGGGTTAGATTTGGGGGGGGGGAGAAAAGGCACTGTTCTGCCCCTCAAGGAGCCCAACATAGAGCTCTGAACACTGAACTCTTGTGAGAGATCTTCTGACAAGAATGTGTTCTTGACATTTATGTAATATGATGGTCAAGGAAACAAACCAACTTCGTGGGGGGAAACCCACAAAAGAGCCACAACTAGTTATCACAAGAGCGGCCTCATTCTGGCTATGAGCCAAATGGCTTTTACCAAATTTACTGTTCATTAGTTCTTGATCCTTGATGGGTGCTTAGTAAATATGCGTGGAGTAAATAAATGAGAGAAAAGCGGAAATCCGTCCCTAAGCTTCATGAGATCTCTAAGTATGATGAGACAACTGGAACCAAAGTCAGGTTTCCTGCCAAAATAAACAGGGAACTACAATCCTAACCATTCTTCACCGACACGGCTACTGGAACAAAATGGTTCCACAGCCATTATCCACAGCGACGACACCTGAGCCCTGCCCAGGGCCCACTGAAACTGAGTTACAAGCTGGTCAAAACCAGCATATTTACTCAGAGGCAAGGGTTTTTACATACTGCAAGGACAATGTCTGTCTTTTTTGGGAGAAAATTCATGTGTGACCATAATCAGACCAGATGCTGGAATGCTACAGGTGGGTAGGTGGCCTTCAGGAGTCTCTCATTTGCCCTTCACAGTGCTCCAGGCAGCAGGAGAGCTAAGGTTGGAGTCCAGGTTTCTGAGTGTGACCGACTCAGTCTTGAACCCTAGCTCCTCCAGTCACTCTGCGACCTTGAACACAATCCTCAGTGCAGTCTAATCATGTGTGGGAAGGAGCTTAACACAACTATCTACCTTGCAGTTGTGACAAAGACTGAATGAGATAATGTTGAAGTCCTCAGCCCCGAACCTGATACATTTCAAGTCACAGCACATCCTAAGTCTGTTTTCTTAACACTGGATTTCGTGAGGGAAATAAAGAAGTTACCACACCAAGAAGGAAGTTGACTGAGTTGAAACTTTTGTCTTATAAAGAAATGCCCCTCCTTAAAACCTGTTATACTAATGCTCTTTCCAAGAAGTTCCTCTCTGCAATCTGAGTAACTATGTGCCAACCTCAGTTTACTTTCCTATCAGACAAGCTGGAAATTTCTCTTTAGTCAAAGCATATGCCTCAGGTCCCAAGATAAATTCTTTGACAACTGGAAGAAGGAATGAGTATGTTCTAAAAGTGTAGGCCTACTACAAATATACAATTAGGTCATCAAACATACCCGAGTCAGAAGTTCAGACCTTTGAGACAAAGTGGAAAAGATAACCAAATCAGTTAACCTTTATATTAACGAGAAATAAAAATGTATTCAAAAATGTAGTCACATATGAAGCACTCCCTGTAAACAAAACATGTCCATTTGCTGTAGTGTTTGCGAGGTTTCAAGAAATACACATATAGACAAGACTTAAAAAGAGGTCTGTGTTCTCACGGACAACTGGCATAAAATTATACTGTAATGTAGAAGGTGACAAGACCTATTAATGGAGGTATAAGCGCTATAGGAAAGGGGAGGCACTGGCTGGGGCTTTGAGGAAGACTCTACTAAGAGAGGGCAGTTCAGCCACTATTTGGAGGTAGTAGAGAATTTCCAGAAGCAGACACAAAGAGAAGACACTTTGCTTGAGTGAAAGGGCATGAGTAAAGAAGTCTAGTGTTCCTTATGGGAGAACGCTAACATTGCTAGCAGAGACAAGGGAAAAAACAAACTTGTGAAAGCTGAATTACATATGCAAATTTAATGAACATTGTCAGGAAGTTATTTAAATACACTTAACATTAAAAACTTCCTTATGACAGTTTTAATCCACTGTCTACTGTCGTCTTTCCTGAGAAGACACACAATTATTTTTGAGTCATAATTGTATCATGGAACAATATGACTGGAAGAGCTGCTGGGAATCACCCTGTGATTGAAGCACTTATTCAGCAAATCTATTATCTGCATTTGGCAGGGAGTGGTTTAGCAACCTCTTTCCTTACAACCAGAATGAAGTAACTTGTTTAACCATTACCAAGTTTTCCTCTACTTTCCAGTCTTTTATCTGCCTCAGAAGTATCCATTCACAAGTTTCTCAAGAAGTGGAAAAACTTTCATCAACTTTTAGACATCATTCCGTATGTGGGGTGGGAATCTTCTGACTTTGTACCCAGTTTATTTATGGAGAACATGGAAACAGAGCCCAGGAAACAGTATCCAAGTTTTGAAGGATCGTGTTGGACAAAAGCTTATGACAGATTGAAGCTGATTAAACTCCTTCCCATCAATGCAGAAAGATGCCTCTTGGGCAGCAGAATCTGAAGGGTCGGATCGGGAACACCGCAGTAAATAGAGGCTGCTGGACCACATGGACAGCGCCAGTGAAAGTCGCAGGGAAGACAAGCATAGGAAGGCTGGCTCTAAAAAGGAAACCTACCAAGTTAGGAAATATTTTACCCACTTCATAGAGGGCAAAGGCTGTATAAACTGGAGGACAATTGCCATGTTCGGTTTGGCCTCTACAGAGCTTTATGAAGGAGCTGTCAACATTGAAGAATACAAAGATTTCACAGAAAACTGGGTGACCAGCTTTTCTTAAAGAATTTAAAGATCTGGCAACACTGGGCTTGTGTTCCTGCATGGCAGCTACAGGCAAGTCCCCTTGGCTTGGGTGTGCTCTCCAGTCTGCCCTTCTCCCTTTACCAGCCTGGCCAGGCAGACATTTGTGTGGGCTATCCTTAAATATGACTCAAAAAATCAACCCACAGTCAATGCACATCTTAATAATCTTTCTTACTTTGGGAAGATGTAATTTTGACTTTGCATTTTATATATTCACTAAATCCAGTTAGGTAGACTTTCTTACGTAGGATTCAAGATTCCTTTAGAAACATTTATATGAATGGAAGACAAAGTGAAACCTGCCCTGGATGAGCAAAACATAAACAATGCCAGAGATGGTGGAACTCTCTTGGCAGCTCAAACCAGAGTAAGTCATTAAATAAGATTCAAACCAAAACTGAAAGTTTTCAACTTTAGACAGGAGAGGCAAGTGTTAAAAGGAAGGCACAAATAAAGGTTTTAGGCAAGTGGTCAACTAAGTAGAACTTTGAAATATGTGTGTGGGTGTGTGTGTATAATGTATACAGAGCATACATATACATACATATGATGCATGGAAAAAGTGACTTGAGTTAAAGTGAAGAGGGAGCTAAAGAATCATGAAATATTTACAGTAACTTGCAGGTTAGTCAAATGGCCATTGAAAGCATGGACTCTCAACCAACAAACATTTATTTAAATTACTTTTTAAAATTTAAATTACTTTTAAATCCTTTCACTGAACTCCAAGCTAGGTGGCTTGCAAAGCTAGTTTCCTAATTGCACAGATTAATTAGCAGAGAGTCACCTAAATTGCACTGGTCCCGGTAAAAGTCTGCTGTCATTTGGCTACATGGTAAATAAGAAGAGAAAAAGGATTTCCCTGTGGCTGTATGCAATGCAGCAGGAGAAGGCGATCATCTGTTCCTGATGCGAAAAGTATCAGAACACAAATTGGCGAGCCTTGGAAATTAAATAGATTCTGGTAAAAGCAGTGCGGTGTGACTGTTCCCTAAAACGTGTTCCGCCACCCCTTCTTCCCCTCAGCATTCTACCTTCTGCAATTTCTGGGGGAGAGGATGACAACGCATCATCACGCGGATACTTTATTCGTTCTACTGCTCCAAAGGACGCTGTGTTAGGCTATCACAGCCGTGACACAGCTTCCTCCCATCCAAGGACGTCCTGCTCCCCGCAGGCCAAATGCTCCAGGGAAAGACCGCAGTAGCGGTCAGCGTGGCCACCTGTCCCTGGCCGCAGGCGGGCCGCTCTGCACGGATGCTCAGCGTGTCCTAGCTGTTTCTGGGGGAGGAGTCCCCGTATTGGTAGGTGACCCGGCTCCACCACCAAGGCCGGGGCTGCTCAGCGCGGCCGGCTGCGGGGGTCGCGAGAGGCCGAGGTCCTCCAGGCCCGGGCGGGGTAGCTCCAGCGTGGAAGATCCCGCTCCGGGAGCCCTGGCCTGCTTCCCTTGCCTGGCGGCTGGGACCCGGAGCCTAGGGAGGCGCGGGATGGGGACGCGGCACCCAGCCCCAGCGTCCCCAGGCTCCCGCCCCAGCTCGGCGCCTCCTCCAATGTCACCCGGGCTCACCAAAAAGCGCGTCGAGCTGGTGCCTTGGTCCACTGCCCCCACCAAGGGCCCCAAAACTGCTTTCTTCGCGGCTGCCATGAAACCAGCTTCGGGTCGACCGGCGGTCGCGGCCCG